AAACAAATGAGTTTTCAAAATAAAGCAAAGAGCTAATCGGACTATAGAGATATATAAAGCTCGCATGGTGGAAAATGTTATACTCAACAGGAAGGTATAGATTATGAAGAGACCTTTGTCACCAATAGTGAAATTTAGTTCAATTCGCTTACTTTTAGCTATCGTGGCACGTTTAGATTTAGAATTACATCAAATGAACGTGAAGACTGTCTTTCTCAATAGAGAATTGGATGAAAAAATGTAAATGCAACAATCAGTAGATTTCATTAAAACAGACCAAGAAAATGAAGATTGTACATTGAATAGATCAATCTATAGCTTGAAGCAATCTTTTAGACTTGATAGTTGAGATTTGACAAAGCAGTTATCTCATATGATTTTGTCGTGATGGATGAAGATCATTGTATTTATTTGAAAAGGTTCAATGAGGAATTTGTAATTTTATCTCTATAGGTAGATGATATCTTACTGGCTGGGAATAATAAGGAGTATATTAAAATCATTAAGAAATGGTTGTCTTTAAATTTTGAAATGAACGACATGGCCGAAGCAGATTACATATTAGGTGTTAAAATCTATAGAAATCATTTGAACAGGCTTCTTGCTCTGTCATAAGAGTCATACATAAAGAAAATTCTTGAACGTTTCAAAATGGAGAATTGCAATCCCATTGACACTCTCGTAGCGAAAGACGAAACTCAAAGTCTTCGTTTGTATCCTAAAACTTTTGAGGAATAAGAAGAAATGTCCAGAGTTCCATACTCCATTGCGGTTGGGAGCTTGATGTACTTTATGATGTGTTCTAGTCCTAACATCTATTATGCCATAGGTGTAGTCAGTAGGTATCAATCTAAACCTGGAAAAGAGAATTGGGAACCTGTTAAGAGGATATTGAGATAACTAAAAGATACAACTAATTACTCCCCATGCTATCAAGGGAATGATTTGTGCTTAAAATGATATACGGATGCTGATTGGGATAGAGACCTAGATGAGCACAAATCAACTGCGGAATATGCACTCTTGCATAATAATGATGCCATCTCTTAGAGTAGTAAGAAACATACATGTATTTTCTTGTCTACAATGGAAGCAGAATTCATAATATGAGCTTTAGCGGTACAAGAAGGTTTTGGTTAAGGAGATTCTTACAACAACTTAGAGTCCTTCGTGGTGATGTGGGACCTATATTGATTTACCTGGTAGTCAAATAGCTATAGCATATGCAAAAATCCCAAGTATCGCAGCAGAATCAAACACATTGATACAAAATATAATTTTGTGAGAGACATCATAGGAAAGAAGGAAGTAAGTTTGCAGTATATTTCTAAGCACCAAATGGTAGCTGATCCATTTACAAAACATATCCCTCAAGATGTTTTTATAACTCATGTTAAATCTCTATGATTGCGTAGAATTTGAATTGTGTAATATGTAAACCTTTTCATCTAAGTCCATTAATCAACAATGTTTTGAGTTCATATGTTGAGAGTAATATCTTGTTGTGATTTTTAGATTAGTATTTAATATGCACATATAAAGTATGTCAAAAAGGTTGAGATTGGTTCACTCACATGAACAATCGCCTCATACATTTTGAAGTGTGTTGAGTTGAGACAAAGTGATCATATTGTGTTTATGATCAAGTCACCTTGATGATATATCAAGATGAGATTACAAAAAGTAATCAGTATGGATTTTTACGATCCATAAACCTGTTCTATACCCACATCAAGTTCTCGATTGAGATTGCCTAAAGGAATAAATATAAGAAGGACTCATGTTAGATATTGAGGAATATCTGAACTATGATTTGTACGGTATATTTTATGGAAGTTGTACCCTGGATTACCGAGGAGCATCTCGCCATCAACGTCAACAGTGGAACGATTCCTTCTCAAAGCTTCAAACGAGTATTGTTCAAACAAGAAAACAATCTTAAAGATCGGATCAGTTTGAAGATGTAGTGTTCAAAAAAGAAAAGAATCATAAAGATCAAATCAGTTTGACGATGTAGATGATGAATTCTCTAATGAAGAATCATGGTATTGACAATTCATGTCTCCAATAATAACCCAAATACTACTAGGAACAGTCTTTTGACTATGCTATTACATGTAATAACTCTATTGTCTCCTTCTGTGCTTAATGTGTTAACATGATTATGTAATAACTCTTCAACTACCCTACGTTCTGATTGGGGAGCCTCCAACTATCCGACGGTTTGTTGTGTCAGTGACAGCCATTAAGCGATCTCCATCCAATTCATTGATGATTTTATGCATAAGTGTTAGGTCAGCCGCGTAATGGTAGATGGTCTCATGGGGTTTAATGGTCTGACATAGGCGTAGGGTGCTTATGGTGGTCGAGGCCCAACATAGACGTAGAGTGTTCGTGAGGGTCGACAACTCAATATGGATGTAAAGAGCTCATGGGAGTCGACGGCCCAGCATAAATGTAGAACTCTCATGGGGGTCGACGGCCCAACATGGACATAGAGCATATAGATGTAAAGCGCTTATGGGGGTTGACGCCTAGCATAGACGTAGAGTGCTCATGGGGTTGATAACCCAGTATAGACGTAGAAAGCCTTATTTGTAGGTCATCATAGATGATTATTAATTCTATCCAAAGAACAAGATAATTTTTATTTTATTAATTTTAAGAAATGCGCAACATTACGAAATTTATGGAGTCCATTTTTTATTTTTATTTTTAATCGCCTGATTGTGGCAATATATTGAAGCAATTTGGTTTTGTTATGAAAAATATTTTATGCTTACACTTTTAGACTTTCAGGTACTATAAAACATAAAATGTAGGTCTGAATTCTACATTAGAGCTCATAATCCAATTTATTTCCGAGTCAATCTTCTTAGTCTTTATTGACTCCAAGCTCTTGACTCTCTACATAGTTTATCTATTATTAAATCAACGCTATCACATACTTAGTTATAAATGCATAACGTGCATTGCACGTCCGTCTCACTAGTCATTATTATAAATGAATATGTTGAACAAAGAAAGAGCCAGTCAACTTCAAAACTAAAAAGGAATATAGCTTGCATAAAATCATTCATAAAATAATTATCATCTTGGGATTTATTTTTAAAAATGTTAATTATTAAGAATTTCACGGCATTTAAAAAAAATGTAAAAAGAAAAAAGAAGAAGCAATATTCTGCGTGTTACATACTTCACAGCACCCATTTCCACTCGATCTCCTCAATTTACCCCGTGGTAACAATAAGCATAAACTAGAAATAAACATCTAGCAGTCATCTCTATAAATTGACCACTCATTCAATATACATCTTACTATATTTTTCCAGAAACCCAACATAAAAGCAGCAGTGATGGTCAGATTTTACCACTATATATGCTCTTTAATTAACGACATTTTTTCCCTTATTTAATGTAACAATTTAAAATATTTTCAAACCCATTTTTCAGCTACTGTTACATATATGGACTACGTAGAAGGCGGGAATAAGGGGTTCAATGGACGAGACAGTTTTACCCCTGCTGACTGGACAAAAATTAATTCTCTCTTTAATTAACGGCAAAATGGATGGAACTTGGACGGAAAGACCTTCATCGCAACGAATGGTTGATTTGAGAGCAAAAATACCAAAAATTGAAAGGTGAGGATGTTTTTCACAATGAAACTGAAAGGTAGGGACATTTTGCACCAATTACCCATATTCAGAATATAGTTTTTTCAAATTAAAGACTACCAAACGGGGCTAAGTTTCTCCAGTCAAATGTGAATTGGACCAGCCAAATATGGATTGGACCATGTGGGAAAACCTCCTCAGCAAGCCTTACCATATACGCCAAGAAGAAGCTAATAAATAATCCTAACAACCCGCGGTCCAAAATATAATCAAAATCCGAATAAAAGACAAAACAGCAAGGAAGCTTCAAGGTTCGTCCAAATGTAAACAATTAGTGCCAGCACTGATACGATAAATAATAAAGGTTGCTTAATCAGGAAATTCATGATTAGACATAGCAAATATTGGGTTGACAATTGCGGCAAACGACGAAAACTAACGACCTCAAGCACATAGATTTTGAAAAATATACTGTTTCGTTTTTCTACACGGATTAATAAATCTTATTTAATATCGTTGAAAAATTAATTTTTGCCAAAATCTCTCCTAATTTACCTCTATTTAATTTTCAATAGTAGTATTAAATTATTGTTGAAATTAATAAAGAATTTGACTGATTTAATTTGAATAAAAAGAAATGAGAGTTGTTCCATGTTTACAATAAGTGAGAAATATGTGTATTTGAATGATTTCAATAAGTTAGCATGTTAAATGAGGAAAATTAAATAATAGTATATTAGTAAAGGAACAAAACAAATATTCTAAATTAGAAAACAAATCTATATATTTGGAACAAGAGAAAAATGAAACTCAACCTATATAATTGGAACAAAGTGAGTATAATCGATCACCAATTGCAATACGTAAATTTATAGTCACCTACGTTGATTTTAAACACCAATAATGCTCCATACTTGGAAAGTTATATCGTTAGGATCCCTTTTAATTCCTCAAACATCAAACAAGACAATTTCCCCATTAATTCCTCAAAAGTCACGTTTTGCACGCTAGAGGAACATACTAGACAGTACAATAAACATGATTTAGCCCCCATTTGTTTCCCATTATTTGTCCATTAAAATAAAAAATATGATCGTTATTCATCACATCAAGCCACCATATTTGACTTTCTATCTCTTGTATGGGGCCCGTGACGGTTATATTTTTCATTCTCATTTTTGCATTAATGTGTACCAAAAAGGGCATTAACCTTTTTTTTTTTTCATTTTAATATTGCCCATAAAATGAATTTGAGACAGCTATGACAAACATTGTTTACCAACCATACCAAATTTGGCATCTCCCTTGTAACTAAAAGGCAAGCTCAAGTTAATGATAATATAGCAATATCAATGAAAATAACAATATTAGTAGCCAAGAAAATAGGAGAAGCATCATTAATCCAATTAACAGAAAATTTAAGAATAAACTAAATTTCAATTCAACCTTACAACAACTATCAGAAATGTGAAAAAATGTCCTTAGTAAACAATGAAGAACAAACATGACAATTTCAAGAATGCACCATTGGTGCCTCACAATGTACGCTAAAGCTATGTTTAATTCAACAGATATCAATAACACATTAGTGAGAAAGAAAGAGAAGCTTACACAATTGAGCTTCGTTTAGTTGTCGAATCAGCAAGTCCTAAACGTCTCTCCATTATGTTCTCTATGATGCCTCAGCCAGGATCTTAACATCAATTCTATGCAATGTATCACAACTTTCCCCCATCACCAAAAACTATAGACTGATTAGTCCTGTCTAAAACCTTAAACTTTCAAAACTTATGCTCGAACCCCCTTTGTGAATTCCAATTTAGTTTCCACTCCATCCTGCACGTCGCGAAATTCAGATTCGGTTATTACATCCATCGGTTTACTCCGGTACCCCAAATCAGAGTGTACTCTTCTTGAATCCCTTAATGGGATTCCGATTTTAGCATTCTCACCATCAAACTTCCTGGCTTCACTGCCCTTTCCCTTTGAATTCACCTGCATACCTCTAGATTCAACAGGTCTCCCTACAGTCTCCACCATTAAACAAGGATTCGCGAGATTATTCCAAGAATGAATAGGAACCAACTTATGTAATCCACTTAACCATTCCACCACATCCTTCATAGTCGGCCGCTTATCCCTGCTAGACCTCACACATTTCGCAGCTATGACTGCTAAATGCTTCCTCACCAAAGCATCCTTAGGGGGCAAAATCCTTGGATCGAAAATGGCGAAAAATTTAACTATTTTTATCAAAGGAATAGCCCAATCAACTACTGAAGGCGGGGAATACCCCAAATCAATAGCCTTCCTCCCACTAATTATCTCTAAAAGCAATATACCAAAACTAAACACATCAGTCTTAGTACTCAAATTATCTGGTGTCACATAACAGGGATCCAAATACCCCATGGTCCCTGCAGGGGGAGTTGACTTCAATCGATTATCATCAACGCACCTCAATGCCAGCCCAAAATCCCCCAACCTTGCATTGAAACTCCGGTCTATCAACACATTGGCCGACTTCACATCGCGATGAATCACAGGGGGATTCAAGGAATGGAGTGTATCAAGAGCTTGAGCGATTTGTAAAGCCAACTTTATCCTCCTTCCCCAATTGGGCACCCGCGAATTCGAATGCAAAACATCATACAGAGTGCCATTACTCATGAACTCCACAACCAAGAGGCGATCTCGTGAATCGTTCTTGGTGAACCCAACGAGATTGACCAATCTTGGGCTCTGAAGCTTCGATAGTATATCAAATTCATTGTCAACTTCATTTGACTTATCAGAAATCAATAATTTCTGGGCAGTTCTCGAGGGTTTCTTAACGGCCACAAGGCGGCCACCATGAAGAACCCCTTTGTAAACAAGACCATGGCTGCCCCTGCCCAGAAGTTTTTGCTCAGAAAAATTGCTTGTAGCTGCTTCAAGATCTTTGTACTTGAATTCCTGAATTTTGATAGCCCTTTCCTTCTCACTTTCAGTTTCAGAATTGTAGTTCAATTTCTTGGAGGTGAAATGGGAATTTGCAGTTGAAATTGCCGAATCTGCTTTACATGAGAGATAACCCATCAAGATTATGAATTGTGTGCAAGTATAGATTGAATATATGTGAAGCGATCTTGTAAATGATGGGTTAGGGATTGAAGTTCGGAACGGTGGATTGCGAAATAAGGAAGACGGGGACAAAGGAGGCGGGCCGCGGGGGTTGTGCGAATAATGAAGGATCTGAATATGAAACAATAAACCACTTGTACAACATTTGACTTGAAATCCTAAAGATTGTGTTTTGTAATAAATGATTTTTTTTTTTTTCATTTTCTATTTTTTCCCCCTAAAGGCGTAATAAATGCTTAACCTCCGTTTGGCCTCATTAAATTCAATTATATTACATTTTATTTTTCTCTCTTCTATTTTCAATTACACAATCTTTCATAAAATAATATTATACGTAAATCGAAAATTTTTCCTTCCTTTTCAACCATTCATTTTTAAAAAAAAAAAATATTATTCCACTCATTTTTCTTTCTGGAAAATGAGAGTCAAACGGGGGCTTATTTTATTCTGCTCTAAAATAGCAAAAAAATTATTTTATAGAAGAGCAAAAAAATAAAAATACAACATTTGACTTGAAATCCTTAAGATTGTGTTTGTAATAAATGATTTTTTTTTCTTTTTCTATTTTTTTCCCCTAAAGGCGTAATAAATGCTCATTTTATTCTGCTCTAAAAGAGCAAAAAATATTCTGTTATAGAAGAGCAAAAAAATAAAAATACATTCTCTACAATATAAACTTATATTTCTTTTTTATTTGTCTCAAATTATATGTTATTTTTTTATTGAAAATTTTTAATATATCTTGTTATATATTTGAATCATTATTTATTGTAGAGTATATTAAAAAAATGTAAAAAAAAAATTATATTTCTAACTATATAATATATATTAATATATTTACTTAATTTTGTGAAACTGAAAGTAAAAATATTTTTTTTTGAGATCGAGAAAGCAGAATAAAATGAAAGAAAAAAGAGTAATATTATTGTACTGGGCCACACCAAAAAGTCAAAACAATTGTGATCATGCTAGAAATTATTTTTACTTCATTCATTTTTTTATCTTGGGAAATTTTCATTGTTAGTCCCTCATCTATGGACATTGTTGCAGTTTCTGTTCTATACTATTATTTTTTACTATCGTCCCCTTCTTACATTTTGTAGCATCATTCATCAAAATTTATACCTTTATATTTAGTTCATAATAAATAAAATTAACTAAATCTAATAAGGAAAGAAAAGGAAAAAAAAAATACAAAAGTCACCTTTAACTGCATCCTAACCATGAATCATATCTCACCTCTTACCTTGTTGTCAATTCCACCTTCTTTCTCGACTTCATATTTTATCCTTTGAGTCACAAAATGTTATTAGAGAAAATAAAGGGAAAACCCCTTTACATCAATGATAGTCATATTCCTCTAGAAAGTGAAAACTAGAGGACAAGTGCGATTTTAGAATGAGTATATTTATGAAATCAGGAGTTGTGTTTCATAGATTGCCAGAGACTCACCTCTAAATGTGCGCATATTGCCATTTTCCCTTTTTCTTTTAATTTATTTTTCATTAAAATTAATTATTTACTCATAACAAAATGATAGGTAATGACGACACTGATAAATTAAATAGATTGGGGATCAAGTCACAATCAATCTATATATTGAGGACAAATGATGCGATTTTCTCTATATTCTTTGTACTGGGAGAGAAACAGATTCGAAAATGAAAATAGTAAAATATAAATAAAACGTGAAATAATTAGAAATTTGCTAATTTATTCAAAAATTTATTATTTTCACGAAACTGATTCCATGAGTATTCTGATTCATAGAAATTTTCGAAAATTTTCATTAACATTTCGCATACTCATTTCTTTAATTTTGGCAAGTTATTTATTAACTGGTCAAACTTATTATTATTGAGCTCCCATTTGATAGCAATTTTTTACCTCAAAAATTAATTTTTTAACCGTTATTTTACTATTACAGTCGTCATTTTTTACTTCTTCACTCACAAATAAGCCTCATTTTTCTCTCTAACGACCAAAAAATCAATTCTCATAATCACTATCATTAATGGACCAATTCAATAAAACCATACCCACTCAAGATAGTTTTACAATAACCTCTTTGACTCTTTTTTTTTCCTGCTAATGTGAATCACGAAATTTGCAATGTCCAAACAAATTTTTCCTTTCAAACTTGATAGAAAATGAAAACCATATGTTTTAGATATTGAGAAGACTAACATGCAGACAGAGAAATATTAGGCATCAAATTGACTTATATACATGAAACTTGCTCCCCAATTTCAAAAAAGGCAAAAGGTGATATCTGACCTAAAAATTAAATTTAATATTTGAAAAAATTTGCAATTAGTTGTCATTGTATAACAAAGAGTACTTAGTATCAATTCGAAACTCTAAATTTTCAAATTATCGGGTCAGTTTTCATTAATAAATGAACGGTGACATCAATGTTTAGCAATAGGAATAGATATTGAATCGAAAAGGTGAAAGATTCAAATATCAAAGGATTAAATAGGGATCAAACCAAGGTCAAACCGATAGTTAAAAATAAATAAATTTTAGATTATACTGTGTTAATTAAAAGGTCCCATAATCATATAATTATAGAAATAAAAGCAATCGAAATGAAAACAAAAAACTGTCATCTGTTGTAATTTATATGTTTATCTGTGAATGAAAATTATACTCTTACAACCCTAGCTTTTATTATTATTATATCCACAATATTATTCCCTATAAATATTGGGATTTGGTTCTTAATAAAATACACGAGTCTATTTATTGTCTACTTTTCTTCGCATTTTCTCTCTATAATACATTATCAGCACGATATTCTAGTTAGTTGAGTTAGCAAAATTTATTCCTCTAATTTCTGCTTACTAAGTTGAGGTAAAAATAATAATTTTTCTTTCAATCAAAGAAACTAAAAATTTTTACGTCAATTGAACAAATAAACTATTCTTTTCTACTCAAATAAAAGGTTAGTATTATCTTAACTTTAAATTACATAACGAAACGATATAGTTATCAATCTGGTTATGCAATTTGACTATTCCAATTTATGATAGATAAATATTTGGTTGAATGTAATTTTTTCGTTTAATATTCCAATACAATATTTCAAAAAAAAAAAACATTGTATTATTATTATTTTTGAAAAGAAAAAATCTGAATCAATATTTTAGAAAAATATTATTATAGTTCTTGAAAGTGAATGTTATATTGGTATTATTTTGTCGCTCATGAAAAAGCACAATCCTACTTTATAAATAACAGTTTATTGTTACTCCTGAATTAGCATGACACAATTAATATTCTTATAAAATAATACTTGTTCTTGAAAGATAATGATATTTCAATTTCAATATTTTCGAAGAATATTGTATTTATATCATTGAAGAGTACATATCTCATTTTGATCCTGAAGAACCATGACTTAATGTGAATATGTTGGGGATCCTAGGAGTTCAATCTACCAAAACAACAATCAACAAAACCAGATTCAAGGCAAAAAAAAAAGAAAAACGGGAATGGAAAAATACAACCCTTTTTCAGCCGATTTCTGTCCAGCTTTCCTTCCTCCTTTGGGCAGCTTCTTCTTCGATTTATGGGTGTTTTTCTAGGCTCAGGAACAGCCCCATGTTATGCCAATTGCCTTCCAAAGAGAGAGGGGAAAAACCAATGAAGAACCACCACCCTTTTTAATGAAAAACTTAGAGCTCCACACTCTGCTGCTGCTGGGAATTCCAAACGAGAGCTGCCCCCATGTTTTATATATAATGGTAGAGTGTACATAATGAAGGGGTAGGAAGAAAGACCATGCCTCTGCCAAAGGAAGGGAAGACCTTATTGTGTCAACCTCACTCCCATCAACTCACAACATTAGGTGGTGGGGTTAGGTGAACCATATCTTCACATTCTTCACCTTGGTTCTCCTAACACTCTCTCTTGGTTGCGAATTTGCACATGGAAGAACTGTTCATCATCATCGCCCACCACCTGCAAGAAAAATTAACCAGTGTCAATGTGTAATAAAGATAAGCACAATCTAAATTTACTTGCAGGTAGAATTTTTGTTCCCATATCAGAGGGATTCCTATCAGTGTGAATTTTAACAAGATTAACTTCACCTTGAGACAGTTTCTCACGTATAAAATGATACTTTACCTCAATATGTTTAGTTCTTTCATGGTAAACAGGATTTTTACAAAGCAATAAAGCACTTTGACTATCAGTAAACATAACAGGTGTATCATGCATGAAGTTCAATTCTTTTAAAATTCCTTTTAACCAAATACAATTTTTTTTAGAGCTTCGGTTATAGCTACATATTCAGCTTCAGTGTTGGATAGTGTAACCAAAGGTTGCAATTGAGATTTTCAAGTTATGCAATTGTCTCCAAGAGTAAAGAAATAGTCTGTAGTTGATTTTCTACTACCTTTGTAACTAGCAAAGTCAACATCTACATAAACCTTAAGGGTTAAAGATTTCAGTTCTTCTCTAATACACTAGACCCAAATTTAATGTCTCAACAATATATCTCAAAACCATTTCATTCTAGCCCAATGGTGCTTACCAGGGTTGGTGGTGTGTTGTCGTAGGCAACCAAAAATAAAACATATAATCCTAGAAATCTAGGTAATAGTGCGAGTAAGGATCGTTCACACAAAAAGTGTCTAATCTAACTTTATGCTATGTAAACAATGAAGAAGGTTTTTTATTATAACACAACCAATCTAAAGAAAATAACTAATAAGCAATGCTAATTGACGGATCGAAATAAATAAAAAGAACAAACCTTGATCTAAGTTAACATCCACCGTCAAAAGTTCACAACTGATCATTGATCCATATATAAATATCAATTCATATTTTTAGCATTCATCATTGGAATTAATTTCCTATCTATCCTTAATTGTAGTTAATTAGAAAACAAGCGATCCAATTAACCTTAATTACTAGACAACCTAAGAAATGTGCTAAGGTTTAATCTAATAACAGCCCTAAGAATTAGAGAGATCGATGAATATAAATAATACAAGCACAAGTGGTTATATTTGATCTACTCATACGTTCGTCCCAAGATTTAACAATTTCTAACGCAACAAGCCATTAAATCCTAGTTACTTCACTAGTTAAATGAATCAAACAATTACGGATTTGATATTAATCAATC